TATTCCCAAGATCACGGCAAAACCTAAAAACCGGCAACATATTTTGCTCAAAGCCCTAAACGCCCTAAAAACCAAAAAACCCAAAACCAAAACCTAGAAGCCCTAAATACCGGCAAAACCTAAGGCTCGAGCACTTTGCTCACCTCGCCACAACAAGTTTCGCCGGCGGCAGCCCGAGGCCACTTCGCACCTGCAAGGCTTCGTATTGCGAGCCTTGAAGATGCTGGAGGCGCGCTCGCCTGGTTGGTATGGGCGCGTTTTTTGACACATTCGCCCGTGCCACGTTGATTTTTTTGTTTTTGCCTTTTTGGGTATTTGGGAGAAGTAGACGCCCTGAAAAAAAAGCGAAAGGCTGCACCATAGATGTTGAGTCGTTGGGTGAAAAAAAAAAAAAGACGCCTTTGAAGCATTTGGTTAACACCATAGACCATGTTCTTGCGGCGCTTTTCGAGCGTGGCTCAGAGGCACACCGCTGGTCAGGCGGGCATCCAGCCGGTCTTCGTCTTCGATGGAAAGCCGCCGGAGCGGGGGTGCTCCGATTTTTTTCCAAGGGGGCGGATGAATAAACCCCTGGTTGAGTTTGATTGTGGGGTGTCCAATTCCTTTTGGTGGGTATTCCTCACTTTTGGAGGGAACACCCCCCTAATAATGGGACGGGTTTATTAATCCTGGGTGAACATTATGGGTGAAAATTAAACCGCCAGGAATTGGACCGCAGGTGTTGGTCCATGTTTCCACTTGCCATGGTTCCATTTTTTTTTGCCCATAGCCAACTGGGTCAGAGCAAACATACCGTGGGGTCCGAGTCTGCAAGGGTCCCAAAAACCGGGCGCCTCAACCTCGAGGGAGTTCCCCCATGGATGGACGGGAAATCCGCTTCTCGCACCACGAAATGACACCATGGGAATGAAACCATGATTTGTTGGCATCCGGGGGAATCGAATCAGAAACTAGGGTTTCTGTGGTGGATGTTGTCCGTCAGTAGGGTAACCCCAAAATGCGGCAAGCCCTGGTAAGTAGAACCGGCGGTCCCATTTCCTGGTGGTTCAATGTGGACCCATGCCCAAATGATCACCGGGATGGGAATCCCACTTTGGTATCACAGAAGATGTTCCACAACACCCGACGAATGATGCCAAGTATGTACAGCGACACGCGCTTGCAGCGTGCAAACACACTGTCTTGAATACGTGGCGGAAGAAAGGCAGGCCGTCATGAAGAGCACAGGATGTCGATGATGGACGATGACGATGATCGTGGACGACGACGATGATGATGATGATGATGATGACGATGATGGACCATGACGATGATGATGGACGACGACGATGATGATGATGATGATGATGATGATGACGATGACGATGACGATGACGATGATGATGATGACAATGACGATGACGATGACGATGACGATGATGACGATGACGATGATGATGATGATGATGATGACGACGAACTTTTAGGAACCCTACCCTGCCCCCTCCCTCCCCCGCATAGCCTCCCCCACAGGCTCTCCAACCCTCGTTTTTCTTGTTTTAGGGGTGGTGGACAGGTCTCGGGATTTTCTCGATGCTGATCTAGTGGTGTTTGATATGACTTTGGTTTGATACTCTAACTTATCGATGATGTTGTTGGCCCTACGCCGCTACATACGCATTCTCCTGGAAACCATGTTTCCTTTCCAACTGCCATCGTGCCTTTCTCACCTTTCTCATCTACTTGCCCGTTGAGGACTGTCCTTCCGGGCTGGCGTGTCTGAGGCAGAACAGCTGTCAATCCCGCGAAACGGGGCGATGTTCAGTGATACCAGCCAACGTGCCCGCCCAGGTGACAGTATTGCCAGACTTAGGGAAGTTGTAAACCTCATGCAGTTTTGGCTTTTCTTCATGTTCCCTTTTACTTAGCAAAAAGAAAACTCTTGGCAGGGGTCGGATTCGTGTGATCGTGATTGGTGCTGGTTTGATTCACCCCGAGTGGCTTTCCACTATGGGATTACGGATTAGGATTCCCCATTATGAACCACTCAGACAAGAATCCAGGGCTGAAACACTTTACCCAAACGAGTGCACATGGTTTTTCACGTGTGTTTCACATTTCAGTGAGGCTTTGAAAAGCAAGTTGTGCGGAGCCGTTGCCAGGCGCTTGGATTGGGATGCGTTGCAGCCCATCTTTTCAAGAGGGGGTTGCACTTTTTACGCATAACCTACACAAGGAGAGGTGGAGAGGTGGTGTTGTTCTTTTTCTTTTTTCATAACATTGGTCCGGCTGCATGTTTGTGCGTTTTCCGCAGGCAATAGATAGCGGAGTTTGTGGCTGGCTGATCATAGAAACACGCGTTAAAGGCTCGCGTCACCGAAACTGTATAGGTGACCATGAATGGGTTCTTACAAATGGGTTCTGGGATGCTGCGCTACTCGTGATTCTCCTTTTTAGTGCAGGTTGTAACCTGGCGTCGCTGGCTCCGCGATGCCATCGCATCGCAGGAGATGAAGACGGCGGTGAACCGGGCGCGGCATGAAGCCAGGAGCGCGGCAAAGCAGGAGACCCCGAGCACCTTGCCCATCTTTGTGCATTTTGCCGAGGGATGTTCGGACAACTTTTTGCCAACCAATGGGTTTGCTGTATTAAACCCACTAAAAGTTCGTCACTTTTAGCAGGGCTTCGCAGATTTCGCCACCGAGCCTCATGTGCACGGAAGAAGAAATCTGCCAGGTTTATACATCCAGGGACCCCAAACGGGGATCTCTACGAAAAAGTCGTAGGTCATGAGGTCACTGGTTGATCTGGCCTGGGCTTGATCAGTACAGGCCGCACAAGGGGGGTCGAAGCCTGCTTGAGGCGCCGCACGCAGCCGGATTGACCTTTTGGTGCCTGGGTGGTTGCAGTCTGGTTTCGCCGGCCAAATCTATTGGGTAGTTGTTAGTTTTCTCGATTGAAAGTAGTTTTATGCTCTTTTCCTATAAGGCACAACAAAAATACCAGGATCCTGAAATAGGAGAACAACCTGCAAGAACGAACTTGCCCAAAACCAACCTCTTGACCTTTTGGTTTCGTTGATTTGGCCCACATGTAGTCAAGGTTCCAAGAGATTAACCTTTTATTTCTAGGTCGCTTGGGCAAGTGAGAGAGAGAGGGTTGAACAGCCTGTCAGCTTCCATCTTTGGACATCGACCGAACACTCTTGGCACAGATACTGATGCGCGTTCAAATGAGGTCAGGTGTGCGTAAAACTGATCTAAATGAGCTGACACATTTCCAGCAGAAAATCATGCAGGCCCATCAACCTACAAAACCTGAAAACATGCCCATGGAGAAAGAGTCAAACCCAATTTGCCCTTTGGAAACTTCAGTCGGACCCCCGATGCAACTGTCGATTGGTTTTTTACACTTGAAGCGGGCTTTCGCCCGTCAAAGTTAATGAGGGCTTGCTTAATTCTGGCAGAGGTGCATTTTGCTTGGATGTTAGTACTTTAGCTTTTTGCCAGCTAATGGGTTTTCCGAATTAAACCACTAAATGTTTGTCACTTTCAGCAGGGGAGCAGAAAGCAACCGACCTGGGTCAACATCATCCAGCACGGCCCTCGGAGCGCCACGGCGTACGGCAGGAGCATGCCGCGGCGGTGGCGTCTGGTGCCAGCTCCGATCAAGTCTACAAGGCGGGAAGCCATGAACGGAACTTGGAAGTAGGCTTGGAGATCAGACGTGGGCTGGGTTTTTTTGAGGGTGCCCCGTTTTGGGTTAGTTGAATTTTAAATGGAAACCATATGGACACCACCCATTTTAGGTTGCACATCGCTCAAGTTGGAAGAGTCATTAGGTGCACGCCAGCAGAGCCTAACTCCAAGTTGACGATAGATTTCAGCGAAGGAATTTCAAGGCCGCACGCATGACAGTTTTTTTCTTTGGCTTTCTTGTTGCGGGTTGGGTGTTTTGTCCAGAACTTGCCCACGGCGCAGCGGAAGGATGGGGAATGCAAGGACAAACCTCTAGCAGACTCCGGGCGAGGGGTAGTCAAGTCCAGTGAGTGGATTGCAGAGGCAGCGAGCCGTTCCACGCTAGTGACGAAACAGCACAACCAGCATACCAAGGCGGGCGAGGGTAGGGTGGGCGTGGAGAACGCTGCCAACATTGCTTGTGGCTAACCACTATCCGTGGCAGGAAATACGCCCCTTTCATGTTGTCTATCGATTTGGATTAAGTTCATGTTGCATCTCAGGGGGGCAAGGGGAAAAGGGTTCTGGGGCTGGGTTGGCCGTGATCCTTGTGTGCTTTCATGCAATGAAAGACTTGTTTCTCAGTACAGTTTTGAGGAAACACAACACTTGACGGGTACGATTAAAAGCAAGCAATCAATGGCAAGGGCGCCGTGAAATGTGTGACTTACCCACTCGTGGATGCTGGGCCAATTGAAAAGCCGTAGAGGTGACTAGCGTTGCGCATGCGTTGCGCAGGCCGCGCCAAAGATTGAGCATCCAATACGCAACTTGAGAAGTCATGTTGGTTGTTCACCTGTGCGGAGTGAGCGGTTGGCTTTCCCAACCGAAACGATGTGGGCTTGGCTCGTTGGCTTCTGCGAGGACTCACTCTTGCAGTTGCTCAGTTTGCTCTTGTTCCCCTTTTGGGGCCATACATGAAGTCAGCCAAGAAACGGCTCTGATTCTACCGGACCCCCAAAGGATCCAGGTTCTAAGAAGGACCTAGGCCCGGGCCGGTAAAAGCGCCAAGTAGCCAGAAATGGGGGGCGTCAAAATAGGAGGACCCCCAATTGTGAAGCTGAAGCCCACTTACAAAGGGTCTGAGGGAGAAAATCCCACTCAAGTCTGTCTTTTCTCTAGGGTGCCCGTTTTTTCTTCTTCTTTTTTTTTGTTTTCAGGGATCAAAAGGAAAGCTAGACTACCAGTTTGGCTGAGTCCCCCTTTAAAAAAGAGAAGGTCGTCAACCCCACTTCAGGTGCAAACCCCCTCTCACCCGCCTCGCGTTTCGGCCCTCGGCGCCTCAGTGCCCTCCTCAGCGCGTGCCATGGCGTGCCTCGAGGGCTGCTGCCTTCGCCTGGAGAGCGGCACCGTGACCTTGGGCCGGCGCCTCGGCCACGGCGCCACCTCGGTGGTCCATGCGGCCCAGCTGACGCCCAGCCCCAAGGCGCGCGCTTCTCGCGCTTCGCAGACGGGTTCGAGGGCGGGGGAGGTTTTGAGGTTCGGGTGTAAGGGCCACAGGGGATTGAGCTTCTGACCTTTTGGGCTTCCTTGAGTTGGTCCATGTTTTGGTCAAGGTGACAAAAGCTTGGCCCTTGGGCGGGTGAGGGTGTGTCAAAGACGAACGTGAGAAACGTGACCAAAAACACCGAGATGTTTGGGGGAGGCGGGCAGGTTGGGGTAAGTTTATGGTTCTCCCCGGTACTGTTTGCACTTGGGGTCTCATGGAGTTTGCAGGAGCCTTTGCGACCCTAGGGATGACAGCGGAGGGTTCTAGAGACTGCAATCCTGGGCAAACATGTTTGCCTTTGCCGCGTGAGGCTTGTAATGATGGTTGTTGGGAAACATTTTACATTTTTGCTTATTGTGGTTTAGTGGTGGGAATCCAACCACTGAACTGCTAAAATTGATTTTTGTTGCTCCCCTTTCAACGTCAACCAAGTACTCGGTGTCGCCCAAAAAGCCTCCGAACCTCCCCACGATGTGCAACTCCTATTGCAGAGGCAGCGCGTTCGTGCACGCACATCTGACGTTCTACTTGGCAAGGTGTCACGATTTTCTACTTGCCCGCATGCCAAGGGTGTCAGGAAGGCTAGCTACCCCCGGCCTGGAGGGAGCTCTTAGGTGGGGGATTTCTGGGGCCCGCCCCATCTAGTCACTCAAATTGCCCGATATATCATATCCAAGTCTTCGCTCCAAAAAGGTGACTCCTCTCCTCATCCGTTTCTCTTGGAGATCGCCAGTGACTTCCGCGCCTTATTTTGGACACTCCATGCAAGTGCCGCGTTGCCATGTCTCCCTTTCAAGCTTGCTTGGCCTTCGAGTTCTAACTGAGCCACGTGGGCGTTTCTCAAAATGATGGCCCTCTTTGAGTGGGTATTTCAAGGGGAAACCTCAGCTCAATGGGAGGCCACCCGGATTTTGCGATTCTGAAGATTGATTAGGAGCCTGTTTAGAGCTTAGAAAAGTACAAGTAAGCCCCTGGCGAAACGACCCGCAGCTGGATCAGAGTTCGCCTGCGCCAGACCTCTGCCGCGGTGGTGGCCAAAGTGGGTGTGACGCCCGGCCCCTTCCTGGCCAATGAGGCGAAGATGTTGCAAGCAGCAGCTGGGCACAAGCGCCTTGGCGAATGTGTTGTGTTCTAGGTCCCCCAGCAGTGTCCTTCTCTCCCCTTTTTTGGGGGAGGGTTCCCCTACTAAAATAGACTACAGAAAAACAATGGTCACTGAACAACTGAGTGACTGCTCTTGGGTTGGATCTTTAGACTTTAACTTTTTGGTTGAAACCAAGTTGGGTTTTCCACTTAACCTCCAAAAAGTTATTCACTTTTTGCAGGGGGGTCAACAGCAACCAAGTAATGTTGACTCCATATTAATCAACCCCAGTTTAGTAATTGGGGGGGTGTCCCTGGGTCTAGTGGGGAATCAGACCACTTTTGGAGCGGAACACCCCTCCATTAATAAACTGGGAGTTGATTAACCAGCCATCCTCTTAGCCTTTCAGCTTTTTACATTTTTAGTGTTATTTTAGTGTTGAGTGGTTGGATTTCCAGTTAACCTGAGGACAGCCCAGTGTTGTATGTGTTTTTTGTTTTTCCCGCCTGGGGGGGGGGGGGCTGAGACAGGGGGCGTGGGATTCTGTGGTGGCGTTGTTGTTGTGCTTGTTTCGTGCTGGAGGCTGGGTTCTCAAGAAATACTTTGGGCAGTGGCTTCACTTCCAATTGCCATTTAGAGAGCACGTTTGAGGAATTCTGGCTGAACTGGGCCCAATCGGCTTTGGCCGGCTTAAGCGAAGGCGCCTTGTTGGATTGAACCGTTGGGCCAGGTTTTGATGGGTTCAATGTTGTTGCCATCGTCATAGTGGTTCCAAAGTGAGCTTGACATCTTTTGCATCGCGCCGTTGACTTTGAAGGATCAGAGCCCAAAGAGTCGCAGATGCTTGTTCGAGGTTGTGGCTGCAGGACGTTGGAAGATTTTGTTTCAACATGTTCGAACAAGGGGGTGGCGCTTGCAACTCGTGTTGCTGGGCGTGCTTTCATAGCCGTGGTACAGCAACTGCCTCAAGCTTTTTCTGAGACGCTCCAGCTCCCACATGCTTTTCCGTGTTGAGTCTCTCTTTGCTTGCGTCTTTTCTCCTTTTGGGGCTGAGACGCCATGCCCGAGGCTTGGGGGACGTAAGCCAGGCTTCAGGTCTTCGGACCGCCCATGAGAACCTTTCTTCAGTCTTTAGCTCCGCGTGTGGCGATTCGGCTTCTTTAAGGTGCTCTTCTTGCCCGTGTTGTCCATGCTTCTCCCCATGCCTTTGTCCTGTACATTGGCGTCCTTTTCAGGTTAGTTTGGCTAAACAAATAGATGGCACTGGTTTAGATGAGTTGCGTTCCATTTATCAGGGCCATCTATTTTTCCAAAAGGCCACCTATCTGCGCTTCTGGCCATAAAAACGCCCTGGCTGTCGTCTTTCCCTTTCCTTAGCGTCTCAGGTGCGGCTTCGGCCTGCATCTTGTGCATGCGTCCGCAAACGCTTTCTTGCGTTTGCGTGAGATAAGTGAGGTTTTCCTGCCAAATCTGACCTTAGCTGTTCCTGGCGTGGATACTGGTTCTTGCTGACCGCCTCTAAACTCCTCTTTGCTTGGGAGCTTGGCGGCTCCCAGCCATCCCATTAGCTTGGCGGCTCGCAGGCGGCTCGCGCCGCCGGCGTGCGAAGGGCACAGACTTGAAATCCAAACTTGCGACCTGGCCCATCCACAAAGTCTTTGGCGTTTGGGCCAAAGTTAAACCAGCAATTGGACCGCAGGTTTTTAGTCCTTGTTTCCATTTTGGGGTTACCCAAGTTTTGACCCGAGTCAATTTCATAGCTTGACGCGGGCCCTGCGACCGAGGAATATCATTCAGCTCATTTCCCTGCTGTCGGTCGATCTGACGGATCCTTCCTCAAACCTCCGCGATTTAGCTCCGCTTGGAGCTGTGCAAGCAGAGGAGCGGCGGCCGGGAATTCCTTGCTTGTTTCTTTGGCGAGAGATGCATTGTACTGGGATTGGTTCGAGGCCCTGATCAGAGAGCTTCTGTTTGTATGTATGCAAATTGGGATGTGTAAGTTTATTTAACATACATCCTGAAGCTCATGCTGAAAATGTGCCACTTGGGCCTGGTGGAAACTTGCCACCTGACCCAAATCCTAGGGCAGAGTGGGTGCCGAATTTCTACCAGAGGTTTGCTTGGAGCCTTAATTTGGTATCAACATAAGCCCAAGTGCCGTGGAGGTTTCCAGATTGCGAAGGGCTCAAACTATGGCGGCCTCAAGGGCTGCGTGGCAAGAGGTGCCCTTTCTGGAGTTCACATGGGCCAGGGCCGACCTTCCAGAAGTAAGCACCATTTTGTGAGCCTCATATACAACTTCCCTCCCGTTTCTTCCGTTTCCCCGAAAGGTTCCCGTTTATAAGTGGGGGTCTGGGGGTGGAGGCCGTGTTCGCGAAGAGTTGCTCCAGAGTTCGCAACCGTCCGCAACCGTTCGCGGTGAGGCGATAAGCGTGTGCCATTGGGATTCGTCGTGGAGGCGTGTTTTTGATGGATCGGCAAGTGCTGTCTTCATTGGCCCGGTGCGCGAATCGTAGCTTCTCAAGCTCGACGTGTCGTTTTGCTGCGCAGGCGCAGTGTTTTGGAAGGCTGCGTGTTCTCGTTGCCGTGCCAGTGGAATTTGCGATCCAGGGGTTGTTGCTTTGAGGTGTCCTGCTTGGCAGGCGCGTGATAGTGTTTGCACCGGCGCCGTTTTCGTTGGCCCTGTCGTACAATCGGCCTGAAACATGTCAAAATTGGTCGAAATCATTCTGGCGCCACAGTCCCGTGCTAGTTTTGGATGCGTTTCGTAAACGTGTCAAAGTTGGATGTTTGGATGATTTTGAGTTTGTGGCAAGCTTTCTTTGCGTGACAGGCGCAGCACTTTCGAGCGTTTTGGTTGAATTTTGTGGGAGGCGCGGCACTTTGGAGCTTTCGTGCAAATTTCGTGGCAGGCGCAGTACTTTGGCGCCTGGGTGTAGGTTTCGCGGCAGGCACGTCACTTTGACTCAGCGAGATCGCTCTCGCTGTGGCGCTGTGCGCATTTTGAGAACGCGAAGCGAACCCTCTGCGCACGTTGGGTGGCACATTTTGCGAACACGGAGCGAACCCTCTGCGCACTTTGGGTGGGTCAAATCGCTCTCGCTGTGGCGCGATGCGCATTTTGAGCATGCGAAGCGAACCCTCTGCGCACTTTGGGTGGGTCAAATCGCTCTCGCTGTGGCGCGGTGCGCATTTTGAGTGGCCATGAGAAGTGTCGTTCAGAAGTGTTGATATAGAAGTGTCATCCAGAAGTGTCGATCAAACGTGTCACTCAGAAGTATCGGGCGGAAGTGTCGGCAGAAGTGTTCCTCGGAAGTGTCGATCAGAAGTGTTGCTCAGAAGTGTTGGTCAGAAGTGTCGAACAGAAGTGTTGCTCAGAAGTGTTGCTCAGAAGTGTTGCTCAGACGTGTCCCTCAGAAATGTTGTGAGAAGTGTGGATCAGAAGTGTTGATCATGCAGATCAGAAGTGTGGATCAAACGTGTTGCTCAGAAGTGTCATTCAGAAGTGTGGTTCAGAAGTATCGCTCAAAAGTGTCGCTCAGAAGTGTCAGTCAAAAGTGTTGCTCAGAAGTGTCGAACAGAACTGTTGCTCGGAAGTTTCGGTCAGAAGTGTGCTAAAGAAGTGTTGCTCAGGGGTATCGCTCATTGCTCAGAGGCGTCGCTCAGAAGTGTCGCTCAGGAGCGTCGCTCATGTCGCTGAGATACGTGTGTAGAAATGTTGCTCGAATTGTCGCTCAGGCAGCAGTGTTGCTGATTGTGTGTGGCTCAGACGTGTCGCTCAAAGGTGTTTTCAGAGTGTCGCTGTTGCCCAGAAGTGTTGTTCAGAGGTGTTGTCGCTCAAAAGCGTCGCTTACATGTGTGTGTGTGTGTTTGCTCAGAAGTGTTGCTCGGAAGTGCTGATCAGAAGCATTGGTCAGAAGTGTTGCTCAGAACTGTCGATCAGAGGTGTCGGTCAGGGGTGTCGATCAGCAGTGTCGAATCAGAAGTGTTGCTCAAAAGTGTTGCTTGGAAGTGTCGGCAGTGTGGATCAGAAGTGTTGACCAGAAGTGTCGATCAGAAGTGTCGATCAGAAGTGTTGCTCAGAAGTGTCGATGAGCAGTGTGGATCAGAAGTGTTGATCAGAAGTGTTGCTCCCTCAGAAGTGTTGCGCAGAAGTGTCTCTCTGAAGTATCGGACAGAAGTGTGGCTTAGAAGCATCGGTCAGAAGTGTTGCTCAGAACTGTCGATCGTGGTGTCAGAGGTGTCGATCAGCAGTGTCGAATCAGCAGTGTCGCTCTGAAGTGTGTGTGTGTGTCAGAAGTGTTGCTCAGCAGTATTGCTCAGAAGTGCCGCTCAGAAGTGTTGATGAGCAGTGTGGATCAGAAGTGTTGACCAGATGCTCAGAACTGTTGGTCAGAAGTGTCAATCAGAAGTGCGGATCAAACGTGCTGCTCAGAAGTGTCGATCAGAAGTGTCGCTCAGAAAAGTCGATCAAAAGTGTTGCTCAGAAGTGTCGATCAGAAGTGTTGCTCGGAAGTGTCGCGCAGAAGTCTCAGCCTGAAGTGTTGCTCAGCAGTCTCGCTCAGAAGTGTCAATTCAGCAGTGTTGCTCAGAAGTGTCGATGGGGCAGTGCGGATCAGAAGTCTTGGTCAGAAGTGTCGCTCAGAAGTGTAACTCCGAAGTGTAGATCAGAAGTCTTGCTCAAAGGTGTTGCTCGGAAGTGTCGGTTGGAAGTGTTGCTCAGAAGTGTCGCTCAGAAGTGTTGCTCGGAAGTGATTGACAGAAATGTTGCTCAGGAGTGTTGGTCAGAAGTGTGGGTCGCAAGTGTTGCTCAGAAGTGTTGATGAGAAGGGCTCCTCAAAAGTGTCGATCAGAAGTGTTGCCCAGAAGTGTCGCCCAGAAGTGTCAATTCAGCAGTGTTGCTCAGAAGTGTCGCTCAGAAGTGTACTCAGTGTGGATCAGAAGTGTTGGTCAGAAGTGTTGCACAGAACTGTCGATGCGAAGTGTGGATCAGAAGTGTTGCTCATCAGTGTCAATCAGAAGTGTCGTTCAGCAGTGTTGCTCAGGTGTCGCTCAGAAGTGTCGCTCAGAAGTGTCAATCAGAAGTGTTGCTCAGAAAAGTCGATCAGAAAAAGTGTCGCTCAGAAGTGTTGCTCAGAAGTGTCGGTTTTAAAAAGTGTGGCTCAGAAGTGTTGACAGCTCAAAAGTTTCAATCAGAAGTGTTGCTCAGAAAAGTCGATCGAGAAAAGTGTCGCTCAGAAGTGTTGCTCAGAAGTGTCGATCAAAAAAAGTGCGGTTCAGAAGTGTTGATCAGGTGTCGCTCAAAAGTGTCGCTCAGAAGTGTCAATCACAAGTTGTCCTCAGACGTGTCGCTCAGAAGTCTAGTACGCGCTGGAAAATCGCAACTTTGTAGTGCAAGTCTAGTGCGCGAAGTACAGGTTTCCAGCTCTAGCTGGAAAATCGCAACTTTGTGGCACAAGTATAGCGCGCGAAGTACAGGTTTCTGGAAAATCACAACTTTGAAGTGCAAGTCCAGTGCACGAAGTACAGGTTCCCAGCTCCAGCTCGAAAATCGCAACTTTGTAGTGCAAGTCTAACGCGCGAAGTACAGGCTTCCAGCTCCAGCTGGAAAATCGCAACTTTGTAGTACAAGTCTAGTACGCGAAGCACAGGTATGCGAAGTCCAGCTCTAGCTGGAAATCACAACCTTGTAGTACAAGCCTAGCGCACGAAGTACAGGTTTCCAGCTCCAGCTGGAAATTGTAACTTTGACAAGTCTAGTACGCAAAGTGCAGGTTTCTATCTCTAGCTGGAAAATCGCGACTTCGTAGTACAAGTCTAGTACGCGAAGTACAGGGTTCTAGCTCTAGCGTGTTGCTCAGAAGTGTCGGTCTGAAAAAGTGTGGTTCAGAAGTGTTGGTCAGGTGCCGCTCAAAAGTGTCGCATCAGAAGTGTTGCTCAGAAAAGTCGGTCAGAAAAAGTGTTGCTCAGAAGTGTCAATCAGAAGTGTCGATCAGAAAAAGTTCAGAAGTGTTGCTCAGAACTGTCGATGAGAAGTGTGGATCAGAAGTGTTGCTCATCAGTGTCATTCACAAGTGTGGTTCAGCAGTGTTGCTCAAACTGTTCGATCAGAAGTGTCAATCAGAAGTGCGGACCAAATGTGTTGCTCAGACAGAAGTGTTGGTCAGAAAAGTCGATCAGAAAAAGTGTCGCTCAGAAGTGTTGCTCAGAATTGTCGATCAGAAAAAGTGTGGTTCAGAAGTGTTGACCAGGTGTCGCTCAAAAGTGCCGCTCACAAGTCACAAGTGTCAAGCAGAAGTTGTCCTCAGACGTGTCGCTCAGAAGTCTAGCGCGCGCTGGAAAATCGCAACTTTGTAGTAAAAGTCTATTACGCGAAGCACAGGTACGCGAAGTCCAGCTCTAGCTGGGAATCACAACCAGCACAAGCCCAGCGCACGAAGTACAGGTTTCCGTTCGTAACTTTGACAAGTCTAGTACGCGAAGTACCGGTTTTCAGCTCCAGCTGGAAAATCGCGACTTTGTTGTACAAGTCTAGCACGCGAAGTACAGGTTTCTAGCTCTAGCTGGAAAATCGCGACTTTGTAGCACAAGGTACAGGGTTCTGGCTCTAGCTGGAAAATCGCGACATTGTAGTACAAGGTACAGGGTTCTAGCTCTAGCTGGAAAATCGCGACATTGTAGTACAAGTCTAGTACGCGAAGTATAGGTTTCCAGCTCCAGCTGGAAAAATTGCGACTCTGTAGTACAAGTCTAGTACGCAAAGTACAGGTTTCCAGCTCCTAGCTGGAAAATCGCAGCCTTGTAGTACTACCAGCTCTAGCTGGAGAATTGTAACTTTAAAGTACAAGTCTAGTGCGCAAAGTGTGCAGGTTTCCAGAACTAGCTGGAAAGTCACAACTTTGTAGTGCAAGTATAGTACGTGAAGTACAAGTTTCCAGCCCTGGCCGGAAGATCGCAAAGTTGAAGTGCAAGTATAGCACGCGAAGTACAGGTTGTGAGCTCCAGCTCGAAAATCGCTTTTCAGCTCTAGCTGGACAATCGCAGCTGTGTAGCGCAAGTCTAGTGCGCGAAGTACAGTTTTCCAGCTCCGGCTGGAAAATTGCAACTTTGTAGTGCAAGTCTAGCGCGCGAAGCGCAGGTGTCCAGCTCCAGACTGAAAATCGTAGCAGTTTGCGCAGCAGGCTTGATTGCGAGCCCCATTGGCTTATACCGAAAAATGTTCTCTCTAATTATATATTCTTGGGCTTGCGCAAAGTGATGTGCATTCGGGTTCGTGGGCTTTGTCTTGTTTGTGAATTTTCTGTTGCGCTGTGCGCCTCCAGGCGGCCAATCAATCGCGTAAAAGCCCGCAGGAATCCTTGCAGCTTCTCATCCTGGAGCGGTGCCAGTGCAGCCTCGCGAACTTCTGCCAGCACATCCCCTCGGAGCCGTCGACTCGACGGCCAAGTTTTTTTCGCCCGCGAGTCCGCGAGTCCCTGGGGGGGACAAAGGAAATATGCGGCGGGGATGGGGGGGGGTAGCGGCGGGTTCAACCCGCAAGCGACGTGGGAGGTTTCCTCGTGTGGAGTCGGGTTTTGCAGTGTTCGCCGATCGTCGCGCATGTGTTGGCAGTAGCAGCGGGTCAAAGCATGTTCCTGACCCGAACAGCAAGCAGCAAGCCATTTTTCAGGAATGTTACCCCTGTCAATGTTGCCGTGGAACCCACGAGATGGCCCCTTTTAAAGGAATATAGTCTTCCGGAACTTGTCAGGTTCCGTGCTACACCGGAGGTTAGCTCATGGTGCCAGAGCTGTTTGCGCGAGCAGTGTCAGTCAGAAGTTCCTCAAGTTTTCGCGGGCAATCGCCCCAGGCATGTTCACTCGGGTTTGCGATGGCCCTCGATTCGCCACTCAAGTGAAGCAGGGCCCAAACCGTTGAAAGGCGGCAGGGACTCCGCTAACACGCGCCAGAGTTTGGGCTTGTTCCCTGGGATGCACCTGTTGTTAAAAGCTTGGGGTCAGGCGGATGTATTCACCAACGACAGCTTCGTTGGCTTTTGGCATGGCGTGGGCCACGCCCCCCAAAAGATTTAGCTGCCCATTGCACTAGGATGCTAGTGGTTCTTTGTCTGACATGTTATCACGATTTCAGGTGTACAATGTACTCAATGACACACCGGATCCAGTCAGGTTGGCCGACCTAATTGGCAACACGTTACATTCAAGTGTTGATCCTCAAGCCTCATGAGAGAACGTGGTTTGTGAGTTTGTGTCTGCCACACCCATGTGGAAGTTGTGCCAGGAGCGATACTCTGCGTGGGTGATGCGATCCGTTCTCGATGGCCGCCTGGCGCGCAGGGGTTCGCGGGCTTGAAGCCACTTCCCAGGGGGTGCATCGAAGAACCGCCCGCCGAAGGTGTTTTTTTGTTTGGGCCAGGTAAGGTCCCAGTGGCATTGAACCACACATAGTGCCAGGAAAGCAATTCCAGGGCGGCTCCACTACGGAATGCAGGCATTGTCCATTTGAAACAAGCTCCACCAGAGCTGAGCGACGGTAAGCAGTTGCTGCTTTCGCAGCATTTATGTTTGATGGGCAAGTAGCAACCTCAGACCAGATTGCTAGTTCCGCCGTTTTCTAGGTAATTAAATGAGGCGGATGACATAGGGTGCGGTTGGTCAAGTGTCAACGCTTGTGTTCAGGAATGTGCAATGTGCAGGTGCCAGGTGGGCAGAAACCGCATTAATTTCTTGGCTTTGGCTTTGTCCTTGGTTGATGGCCCCACGCTGATCCATAGTTCTTTGTATTCGTCCTGTGGCCCATAGCTGTGGTCAGACTTGTGGAGGATTTGGCAAATTACTTGCTGGTGCTCAGTAGGGAATGACCTGCCTGCCGGGCTGTTTTGGGAATGAACCTAGGGATTCCCTTAGACAGGAAACCATAGGGGATGGTTTATAGGGGTCATTCCCTCATTCCCTGCTGAGAATCAGCAAGATTATGATGGACCTGCCCTGTACAGCCCATTGTTAGCGAAGAATGTGTACAGGAAACGCATTGAAGCAAAAGTTATGTAGTGCAGAACAGCTAATGAGGCCCATCTCCCGGCGGCAAGTTGCTACACTTTTCCAGGTTGCGCCCGGTTGCGCAAGGTTGCGCGCAGGTTGCGCCAAGTTGCGCCCGAGTTGCGTGGTTGAGCGCAGCTCATGCTTTAACATTGCACTACGACGTGACAAGTGCCCTATCACAGCATGACAGCCCAACGACCTAGCCGTTTGTAGCTCAGTCGGTTTCATCATCGAGCTGAATCAGGTGCATACCAAAAAGCGCCCGAATATAGACAAGCGCTCATTCGACCGCCCGTGATGCCCGAAAACATGTCAAACGGCCTTTGAGATTTTTTTCTGTATCAAAGGGCTCTCCAGGTGCATCCTATCAAGGGGAAAGCTTGAGTAAGGCCTCGTGCATTTGCATAGCCTGAACATTGTTCACCGGGACATCAAGGATGCCAATATCATGCGCCTCGGCTTGCACTAAAGAGGCTTTGCATCCAGACTGTAGCGCAAGAGCGGCGGGGGGGGGGGGGGGGTGAGGCTGCATTCATTGAAAGGTAATGTTGAGTGCTGCTCAAAGTAAGAACAACAGCTCCCCAGACAGATCTGGCACATGCTGCGACTATGAGTTTGGAGTACCATCGTAAGGGTTTTCAGTGAGTTTTCAGTTCATGCCAGTAACTCTGAATGACGCACTCGCCTCAACTGACACTGAAGGATCGCATATAGCGGAGATCGGGTGGCAATCGCTGATCTCGGTCTGGCAGGAAGGATTCCTGAAGGCGCGGGGTGGGGGGGGGGGGGAATGCGGGGCCGGGTTGGGCAAGTCAGACCATGCAAACCAACGCATCCTATTATAACGACAGGGGGAGGGGTATGCTGCGCATGCGGCCGCTGCGATTGCCACTCATTTGGGCAAATTGCGCTGGTGGGCCATCTGATTGAAGATGGCCCCCAATGAATTATTGGGGACGTCATGCTCCATTGCGAAGGCATGTTTAACATTAGGTTACTGTGGTCGAACCCAATTAGTGATTTGGATTGGGGTGGGGATTCGCACACCTGGTTCTTGAGGAATGTGACGCAACCCCCCAAACCTCACCAACGCAGACCAAGGAGGGAAACTGAGCCTACATCCCAAACTCACATCTCCAAACCCCACCTTTTCACCCTCCGCTTTTCTTTTTCGGTTGTCATTTTCTCGTCACCCCAGAACAAATCACCACTTGATTTCCAGGCAGTGGGTCGGGTGCTCACTCCGCTCGGGAGATAACTTGCTGGTGCTCAATAGGGAATGAGGGAGCCTGGGGATTCTCTAAGAAACAGCCGGCTGGATGGTTTATTGGCGTCATTCCCTCATTCCCTGCTGAGTGCCAGCAAGATTATGATGGACATGGATCCCCTCCTTGCCCCATTCCCTATGGTTTGCCATCTCAATCCCTGCCTCTCGCACCAAGAAAACTCAACTACAACTCCATTCCCTCCCTATGGTTTGCCATCTCATTCCCTGCCTCTCGCACCAAGAACAAATCAACAAAACCTCCGATTCCCTTTTGTTTGCCCTCATTCCCACCACACACACACACAACACACCACACCACGCATCACACACCACGCACACGACAACCACACACACACACACCCCAACCACCCACACCACACACACACACACCACACACACACACACCACACACACACACACCACACACACACACACACACCACACACACCCCACACACCACACACACCACACACACACACACCACACACACCACACACACACACACACACACACACCACACACACACACACCACACACACAAACCACACACACCACGCACACACACACACACCACACACACACACCACACACACACACACCACACACACACACAGAGCACACACACACACACGCAGCACACACAACACCACACACAACACCACACACACCACCACACACACCACCACACACAACACCACACACAACACCACACACAACACCACACACAACACCACACAATATCTGCCACACACAACACCCGCCACACACACAACACCCACTACACACAACACCCACCACCCACCCGCCCGCCCCGCACGCACGCACGCAAGCACGCCCGCCCGCACGCCCGCCCGCACGCACGCACGCTCGCTCGCACGCCCACACGCACGCACGCACGCACGCACCCACACACACATGCGAGGTCAGACGAGCATCGAGTGGCATTGTGGCACCCAGGGCTTCGCAGCTCCGGAGGTGCTGCAGCAACGCAGCGGCGGCAAGGCCTCCGACGTCTTCTCTCTGGGACTCCCGGCTTCCGGGCGCGGAGTCGCTTCGATAGGTAGGCAACCACTTTGTTGGGAGAGGGTTCCCCTACTAAAACAGACTACAGAAAACAAAAAGGGTACCCGTATTCTATCCTCTCTACTGGAGGACCTAGTAGGGCATGCAGGGGAAACCATCGGGAATGTGGGTAGAGCGCAAAAGGAGCTCAGCCTTGCAAGCGAATCGACTTCTAGTCCATTCTTAGAGGTGCCGGAAGCTCAACCTTTTGATTTTTAGGTCCTTTGGGCAAGTGAAGGAGGGCGGCCTTTTGCTTGCAAACGGTGCGATAGGGAATGTGGGAATGTATGCTTTGCTCCCCTTAAAGCGAAACCATGGGGGATGCTTCATATGTGGTCATTCCCTCATTCCCACTGCTGAGAACCAGCAAATTTTAGACCAAACGCAGGAACATCGGTCAAAGAACCAGAAGCCGAGAAGCGCAGAAGCGCAGAAGCGCAATAAACCGCAGAAGCCGAGAAGCGCAGAAGCGCAGAAGCGCAATAGACCGCGAAGCCGAGAAGCGCAGAAGCGCAATAAATCGCAGAAGCCGAGAAGCGCAGAAGCGCCGACGGGGAGCGAGGCGCAGCAAAGCACAGAAGCGCAGCACAGAACAAGCGGAGCCAAGCGCAGAAACAATGAAGCGAGCTAAAGTGCAGAAGCGCACAACGCAAAAAAGCGTAGAAGCGCAACAACGAGCAGAAGCGTAGAAGCGCAATTAAGCGCAGAAGCGTAGAAGCGCAATTAAGCGCAGAAGCGAAGCGCAATTAAGCGCAGAAGCGTAGAAGCGCGATTAAGCGCAAAAGCGTAATTAAGCGCAGAAGCGCAGAAGCGCAATTAGGCGCAGAAGCGTAGAAGCGCAATTATGCGCAAAAGCGCAATTAAGCGTAGAAGCGCAATTAAGCGCAGAAGCGTAGAAGCGCAATGAAGCGCAGAAGCGCAAAAGCGCAATTAAGCGCAGAAGCGTAGAAGCGCATTTAAGCGCAGAAGCGTAAAAGCGCAAGAAAGCGCAGAAGCGTGAAGCGTAGAAGCGCAGTAAAGCGCAGAAGCGCAGCAGAGCTTGTAGGCTTCCAGGCGTGACTCGGCTTTAGGCTTCTAGGCTTGTGGGCCTCTCAGCGACGTAGACTTTGGCGGCTTCTATGCTTCAATCTTGAATGGCGCATCACCCGCAATTATACCCGCTATACCCGTGACCATGCGAAGAATGGCGCCCGGCCTGGTTCTGTCAGAACTTCACGGACGCTCGCCGAAAGCGCGATGCCCAAAATTGCATACCGCACGCGCACGATGCAAGGTTTCTTTGACGTAGCACTCCGCCTCGGGCGCGTGAATGACTTCGGCGCACCTCCAATTTGTTGCCTTCTTCTTATTTGAGATGCTGCCAAAGACCACTTCGACCACGGGTCTCCCCGGGCTGCTGATGGACCACTCGGGCCCAATTCCAGTAGAGAGCGTAGCGGGCGGTTTCGAAGCGCAGCTCGATCTGCTCATCCTTGGAAAGGTTCTCATCAACCAAACCGGTACACTTCGTTGGCTTTCTGATCAGGAACGGACGCATCGTGTCGCTGCAAATCCCGCGCCCCAGGACTTGTACTGCCCATTCAATCACGATCAGTCGTCGCCATGAGCGAGAAGAGCACAGGCGCGAGGTCCTTGCCGTCCTTGATGCCTTCGATACTGTCTGATCTTGTTGCGACGAAGGCTCACGTGCGTGCGGTTGGACCATATGAATTTAGGGCCGCGTAAATGATGACCTTGCTTGAAATCCAAGCTTAAGTGACCTTAAGGGCCTCCCCGTCTCCGGGGCCTTATCGACATCAACCGCGATGTTGATAGGGCGGTCGGCCCTGGCCCCCCCGGCCTTGCGTTCAAGCCTGACCCAGGCACTACCGTTAGGTAGGCATGGCCGCGCGACGTGTCCTCGCACTCCCCGATAAATGTGCCCGTTTCAACTCATTGCTTCAATGCGACGTTCTGCCGGAGAAAATGCCGGACATCAAGAAAGTGGCACGTGTTGAAGAGATGGCCGTTCCCTCAATCATGGAGCAAATCGAAACCCAGATATTGACGCAGCACATGGACTCTTAGGAGCGGCCAAGGAGGCTTGGGCATTATGAAAGCTTGGTCTTGTGGGGCAGGGTTGCAAAAGTCTTTACGAGCGCCTCATCACCGACCCGTTTTCTGCCTATAGCGCTCCGCGGGGAGACCTGACGCCTTCTGCGCTTGAGTTTGTCCAGAAAGTGGCCCGCTGTGTCACCCTGAGCTTTGAGCGCGCCTAAGGAGATGATTAAAGGTGCCGTGCTGTTCCAAGGTACGAGGCACGGCTAGCGCTGGTGCCACCGCAGGAGGAAGTCGAGGAGATCAACCCCGACGATATGTGTGTCTGCCACGGCGGACGACAAGCAGTTTGTGGCATTATATGGCAACCCCGACCAGTGATGCCCATGATCTGCTAATTTTTGTCGAGAGTCCGGCGTTGTGGGTGTGACAAGGAGGCCTAAGATCAACAACCCTGGGCGCATCCCCTCAACTGGAACTGGCGCTGCTTTTCATCAGGATCTATGGCAGACATCAATTTACTTGTTCAAATCTCAATCCATTTCATTATTGTTCATATTTGCCGAAGATCCGATGTACAGGTGTAGGTGTTGCCTCGCGAGAGCGATGGGCAGTGGAGACGGAAGATCTTCGCTGGCCTCTGCATTGATCATAAAGCGCCTATTCCTGTCAGGGCCTCATGCCGCTTGAGTTAATTTGGTTGTTTCTGATCCCTAATACTTGTCCTCCTGTTTCACCGTCGGACACGGAGGGTGTATTTTCCTAAATGATGATTTATCAACCTCAATAGTCATTGCGCAATTAATCGTAGAGGCGTAGAAGCGCAGTACAGCGTAGAAGCGCAGTAGAGCGATGTAAAGCGTAGAAGCGCAAATAAACAGTAGAAGCGCAAAAATAAGCGCGTGCAAGCGCAATTAAGCGTAGAAGCATAGAAGCGCAATAAAGCGCAGAAGCGCAATATCGCAATAAAGCGCAATTAAGCGCAATTAAGCGCAATTAAGCGCAGAAGCGCAATTAAGCGCAATTAAGCGCAATTAAGCCCAGAAGCGTAGAAGCGCAATTAAGCGCAGAAGCGCAATTAATTAATTAAGCGCAAAAGCGCAATAAAGCTCAGAAGCGGAAAAGCGCAATACAGCGCAGAAGCGTAGAAGCGCAATTAAGCGCAGAAGCGCAATTAAGCGCAGAAGCGCAAAAGCGCAATTAAGCGCAGAAGCGTAGAAGCGTAATGAGGCGCAATAAAGCGTGAGCGTGTAAGTGCAGAAAAGTGCAAAGGCGCAGAAACGCAACAAAAATGATAAAGCATATAGGCTTGTAGGGCTTCTAGGCTTCTAGGCTTCTAGGCGTGACGCCAGATTAGGCTTCTAGGCTTCTAGGCTTCTCGGCTTCTAGGCGTGACGCCGGTATTAGGCTTCTAGGCTTCTAGGCGTGACGCCAGTATTGGGCTTCTAGGCTTCTAGGCTTCTAGGCGTGATGCCAGTATTAGGCTTCTAGGCTTCTAGGCTTCTAGGCGTTACGCAACCCAAACCCCCCTACTCTCAAAGGTTGGTCAAAGAATTGAAAGCCTGGGGAAAGGTGGGTGTTGACCCCCAAGTAAATGTGGAACCCACAATGGCGGGAGTTCCACATTCCAGAGTCCACTTTGGTTTCTTCGCAGCTGGCATGCCGCCTTTTGCCGGCTGTCGGCGATGAGTTCCGCTGCTTTGCTCCTCCCTCGCCGTTGCGTTCAATGGGCTCGAGGAATCTGAAGTGGGCTTTCAGGTCTTTCTGGGTCCTCTTGAGCCCTACCTGCCGGTCAGCCCTGTGACTGTGACTTGGGTCACTCAGTCAACCAGCGCTAGCCCCTAGCCCCTTGCCCTGCATATACTCGGCCACTATGCGCTACGGAAATCCATCGTCAAGGGGCGTTGTTGGCCCCCTGTGTTCGTTTTGGAGTTTTTTCCGATGTGTCAGGGGCAAAACGACACAGCCAAGGAGTGGTACTTTTCCTTATGCTCACCGGCAGTCATCCATTCTTAGAGGACTCCCGGGCCGCCAATCGGTGACTTTTCGCTGTTGGAGTGCGTTGTTCACCCACACCTTGCAGTCCATGTCATTTGGGTTATGCTGATTGTGTATGATGAAGGCTACACTTGCAAAGGGCTCCCTCCTTGAAGAAAAACAAGCATCGCATGCACAGGTTTGTTCCTTCACTTTACGCTTTCCCTGTCGCACGCGTGGCGATAAAGGATGTTGCCGTAAGAACCACACAACCCACCAAATAAACTCAAAGCTGATACTGGCCAAACAGTGTTGGGCAAGGCACGGAAATAGCATAAACATGCTGCAGGTGAAGGATGTGAAGGATATGAAAGGAAACGGCAGTGAAGGATATCATGATCTATCAATTTTAGGCTTGGCTTATTGCATGGCAAGGGTGTGTCGTGTGACCCGCGGAGAACAAAAGGGCCCAAATAAATGTGTAGAAACCGTTGTTTGGAGATTCCCTTCCCTTGCAAAGCAGGGGGCAACAGACCGGTCACCTCCAAACCGCACACCCAAGCCGTTAACAATTGCTTGCCTCGTCAACTGTTTTCCCTTGTGGTTGTTCTGAACTCTTCCCGATCAAATTGTATTGAGCTATGAGGGGGATGAAGGTCGCGAAGTTACTTTGTTGTTCGCGAAAGTTTCGTGTAAGCTAACAGGAAGCTGGAAAGATGAACGAGGCGTATTAGCCGGCAGTACGCGCAGAATGCCCGCAGACTAAAGTTGGTCGGGGGATGCGCGGCCTGAGGGCACACGCTGCTGCAAAAGAAATCCCCGGCCAGCAGAAACCAGCTTGTGGGAGTTTTGAAGCTTTCGGGTCAAGTTGAGTGCAACTTTCCAGCCGGATTTTCGCGAATGTTTCGCGTAAGGTCCGCGAAAGTTGACGGACCTCCCGCCAGTTTGCGGACATGATGCCAATGGGTCCTCTCGTGTGCTGCCGCACGGCTTATGAGCTGGAGCTGTGGAAGCGCGCTTCGCATGCTGCTTTCGAGCTGGGGCTGCGGAAGTGTACTTTGTGTACTACTTTCGTATTGAAAAGTTGCGACTGTGTACTTCGTGTACTACTTTTGTGATGAGTTCTGTTCCGAAAACAGCCCCGCGAAAGCTCCGCGATGGGGTCCGCGGAAGTTATTCTTCTTTCTCAGGAAGATGGCGGTTTCCGGAACAAGGAATTTCAGACAACCGTAGCGCGGTCGACTCGTTTGCCGAGTCAAGTCTTTTCTACCTGAAGCGATTCTATGGAAGGTGCGAGGACCCCTCAACATGAGCTGCCTTGTGGGTGCCTGTGCCTTGTGGCTGCAATGTTGAAGGTTAGGCGTTATCGGAGTAAGTGAGGTTGCTTCCCTTTAACCCACACTGGGGTGACTTTGGTGAAAGAATGAGGTTTCCAAGTTCTTTGCCGAAGAATCGAATGGGTATGTCTTTTTTTTTGCGGGCCCCCCAAATGGCGGGTTTTGCGTTTTGCTATTGGTTTCCCTTACCACCAAACAAAGAAATGCCCTCTCTCCCCCACTAGCATGGCACCTGAAAGGGGGTCCCTCCAACAAAAACTTGATCTTCCAGCTACCCTACCAACCCCAAACGACCCAAAACGACCCGCAGGACACGAAGCTGGAGACCATGATGGCCACGCTCCACCGGCAGCTGCCCTGCGAGCCCGCAGGCCTCCTGAAAAAATCCTCCCAGGAGGCCTGCGCCATGCTGCAGCTGATGCTCTGCCGCGACTTCCAGACCAGGCGAACTCCGAACGCCGAACGCGAGCGAGCAGCGCTTTTCTTGCTTGATGGCCTGGGGTTGGTTGTTTTTGTTTCTTCCCTATCTTGGTTGTTTTGTTTTGGCTGTTTGTTTGTTTTTGTTTTTGTTTTTATCTTTGCAGTGTTTGTTTTGCAGTTTGGTTTGCCGCAAGCCCCTTGTGCCTGGGTAGAACCTGAGCGGAGCGCTGCCCACTGGAATGGGCCCGGGCCCACCTTAGCTTTCCTGCAAACAGCTGTGGATCTGAATGGTCTGACCTTCAATCGGATCGGGATCACTGCCTCTCCTAGGTCCCCAGTAGTGCCCTTTCTCACCACTTTGTTTGGGGAGGGTTCCCCCACCAAAACAGACTACAGGAAAAAGTTGGACCCTTACTCTGGAGGACCTAGATGTTGACCCCAACGGCTTTGGCCAGGGGTCCTTTGGGCCAGTTTGCAACGCCGCACATGTTGTCGTGCGCTTGGTCCTTAACGGATATAAAATGCTGTCGCTAGCGGGCCTTGGACAGTGAGCCTTACCATCCCGGAGTAGCCCCAGCACGTTGAAATGGGTCTGTGCCCATGCTCCTCCGCATGTCAGAATGGGGACAGCTAAAAGGGGTGGTTTGCTTTTGGTGTCACTTAAAAGCTCCAAAGAAACCCACACCATTTTTTTCTTCAGAAATCCATTTTGGAAAACAAGCCATGAAAGCAGCCAGTGATGCGAAGATTGGCATCCTGAGCGACATGCCCAAGGCCAGCTCATCCAAGTGATCGGTGGAACCTCCAATTGAGCTACCACAAAAAGGGTCTATGTATGACAATGTATTGGAGTGGATCCGGAAATCGGGTCCAACACCCCCAAAAAAAGGAAGGCGAGTCTTCAAGCAAATCGTTTTGGCAGCTCAGTTTGCCGTCCCCTTGTTTTCGACCGGTGGTGGTCGAGGCCATGCGCCGCCGCGCTCTTGGAGCACGCCTGGTTCTCGAAAGAAGCTGGCCACGGCCATGCCCACACCATCCTCCCGACGGGCCAAAGCCCCAGCCCCGCGCTGGAGAGCCTGCGGGCCGAGCGTCAGAAGGCACGGAAGCCGGAGCTGCTGAAGAAGGCTGGGGCCCACGTTAGGCCAGAGGCTTCCAGTTCTTGCGATTTTTCCAGGCCTGTATCATTTGAGCACAAAAAAGCAAAGTGCGCACAATGGACCAAGTGCGCATTTCAAGTAACAACGCGCAAAGTTCCAAGAACTGCGCGAGGCGTTTTTTCGCTGGTTTTGGTACAGGTTCTGGGCGTATGTAGCCTTGATAGCAACCTGTCAAGCTGTTCAAAAATAACTATGGACAAGGATAAATGCGCGCCTTGTCGACCAGAACTCGCCTGAATGATCCAAGGAACCTGCGTGCGTTTTGGCTGCCTGTTTGGCGTTGTCTGGCTTAGCCTTGCATCGTGACAAGCCAGCTTGATGGACAAGAGAAACAATTGAGATTAAAAGAAATCCGAACACCGCTTCCAGGTTGAAAGCTGATCGGCGCAGCTTCGACTGACCACACCTGGCTCAAAATAGAGCTTTTGGTTGGCAATTCGGGCGCTTCGGGACATCTGCTGCCTGAAAAGGTCTGAAACGCGCACATGCATGTGCACACTTTTCGTATTTGCGCGCAACTGCGGGAATTTGCGCGATAGTACCGGAAATTTGCAAATTGCGGGTTGGCAGGGCGCCCAAAAACGACTAAATTTTACCTGACAGCGACTTCGTAAGAATTGCGAGCTTCGGTTCAATCGTCGCTTATGTCCATTTGCTAAAGACTAGCTGAAGACTGTGTGCTGTCGAACAGATACTGTGGATGGACGAAATCCTGCACCACTTTGAAACCATGTGGTTGGTATTTACCCTGGAATCATCATTCCAAGGTTCTTAATTAGGTGGAGATTTCGTCCATGCACAGTCGGAGAGTAGCTTGTTTCCTTTGACTGGGGATCCCAGTGGCTCGCCTGCATTCGCCCTTGCTATTTTCGCGCAGCCAAAGTGCACTTCGTACTGCACCTGAAAGGGATGAGAGTTGCTTACACACGGTGCAACCAAGACTTGGCCCACTTTGTGTTCCATCACAGCACCCACTGGATCTAGGGAAGTTTCACTGCGGCATGGGTTCATTATTTTAGCCCAGGAGAAGGCTAGCGTCTCTGACCGCGCCATGTTGGTTTTCGATCTGGGGGTGGGGGAGTAGCAAATGTTGGCGTCTTCCTTGGCTGCAAGCATTTGCCAATTGTTGACGTGCTGGATGGGATCTGCTTATTTGATAGCGAGTTCACCTGGGGTACGACGAGCTCACCATGATAAAGGTCCTTTTCTTGTTGGGAATCCCTTATTTTAGCTGATGGAATTATAGTACAATTTGCAGAAGGGATGGGTGGCATGGGGCTGAGGCCTAGACCCCTTGGTGATTTCATGAGATTTTCGCTTGGCAGATGACCCAAAGGATGAAGAAAAACTGACTGCAGGGAAGCCTCCAAAGATTTTTGCAGCTGTTAAGACCTTATTGGCTTTGCCGGGGCACGGTGGCTGGGATGGCTCTCTCTCTCTCTCTCTTTCTCTCTCTCTCTCTCTTTCTCTCTCTCTCTCTCTTTGATGGCTTGACATCTTCGCTTGCAGCATGCAGGCACAAAACAGCTGTTGCTACTGTTGGGGCCTGACCCCCCCCCCCCACCCTTGCACTGAAAACGCTGCGCACTTGCACTGAGCGAGTCGCAAAGACATCTTGACATCTTGGCTCCCAGCCCCCACCCCCCACCCTCCTCCCCCCCCACCCCCCACCCCCATGTGTGGTGGGGCTCCTCTCCAGGCCGTCACACAGACCGACTCCCGCGCCCGCGAGAAGAAGCTCTGGCGCCGGGCGCGGGACGCCTTCGCCAGCTTTCAGGCGACGCACGCGACGCGGGCGACGCGGGTCGGGTCGTTCCAGGCGAGGGAAGCCCGGGTGAAAACGGCGGGAAAAAACGGAGAACGCCTTCGGAAAGGGAGCCCCTTTTTGCCCAGTGGTGCCTTTTTTTTAACATTATTTTTTTGGGGAAGGGTTCCCCCTTAAGGTCAACCAACCCAAAGAAGGATGCCCTTCTTTCCCATACTGGGCATTTGAGGGAGGCTTCAGGGTTCAAAGGTGGATCAGTTTCAACGGAAACCACTGTTTAGACCTGTGGCCCAACCCTGCAAGCCCCGAAAAAATTAGGCCGCTCCCTTAAAGTAAGAACCAGAGGTTTAAAAAAAAAACCGAAGGTCCTCCCAGGTTGCTTGGCGCTGGCCGGAGAAGATCATCAAACGTAGCGGATGTTCTTTTTGCGTTCCTGGACCCGGAAATCTGGCAGCTTACTCGTTGATGGTACACCGGGGCATGTATAGATCCGTACGTGGAAAGGAAGGCTGCGCGCTGTTTTTGCAACACTGCGTCGAGACCACTTGGGCAACAAGCGCGTGGTCACCGCACAGCAGTGATTACCTTCTTGCCGCACACAGGACAGGTTCAAAGCGGGCCTGAGTCCGCACTAACCTTACGCATGTTTGAGAGTCTCCTTCTGACCACGAATGACATAAAGTCAAGGGGGCCCTAAAAGCGGCAAGGGGCAGGGGGGGCCATTTGCATCATTAACCCCTTAAGGCCTTATCAATGCTCCAGGGAAACCCGCCTTGGGGTCCCCGAGGCCCCAAAGGCGATTTTGGTGTCAGACTCCGCGGCACGCAGAAAGGAACCGGCGCACTGAGCTTCTCCCAGGCGGCGCGCGCAGGTTTTGAGGGCGAACGAACTGAAAAGTGCCCATGGAATCGCGAATCCGCTCGCCCACGTGCTCTGTAGCGAGCGTGATCTATGCCTTAGTTGCGAGGCACACCCCAGTCCCCATTTGTGGCCTCGTGTGGTTCTTGATGGCATGCTAATGAGCAGATTCTGCAATAGCTGGCCATGTGGCCGCGCTTTAGTGCGAGCGTTCCCCAAGAAGCAGACTGCGATTTGCCCACATTCTGCCTGCCCTGTCTTCGGTAGCCTTCTTCCTGGTTTCAGTGTAGGAACTACGAGTGGGTGTTTGTTTTTTTAAACCAACCATTTGGGGGTACGCACCTTGCTGGCACATTCAATCACGCGAATCTCACTCAAACGAATAAGATTGAGGCCGATCAGAAGCGCGCGGCGTTGAGTTGAGGCAGGAGATCCCCAACAAAAGCGCGCAGACCTGAGTGAGCCTGTCCCCCACGACCACTCACCTTGGAAACAATCTGGCATGGCTGGTTCCAAAATCTCGCGGTGCAAATTGGAGCAGCCGGATGTCTCTGGAATCAACTGGGGGTCTTGAGGACCTGAATGTTCCACCACAAGTGCTGATTCCCAGGAGGCATGGTAATTTCCTCACTGAGAATCAACCAGTTCTGTTGAAATGCCAACGCATGCCCAATCTCCTTGTGCGACATGCTGTCTTCGTCCCCGTCCCTGTCGTCGTTCGGGATTCGCTTTCCCGTTTTTGGAATCTTGCTGCGTGAGAGAGAAACGCGCCGCCGGCCAGGGGCGGTTCCGGAGCCGCGTGCAGCCGCTACACTTTCATGACCTCATGCCATAATGTTGACCCCGAATTACTCAACCCCAGTTCATTAACAGGGGGGTGTCCCTGGGATACTTTGGAGGGGAACACCCCCTGTGAACAAACTTGGGTTGATGAATATGGGGTCAACATTAGTCAGTTCACGAAATTATCTCAGAGATCTCTTTGTCGTCACCCTGTCGACTGTGGACTGCGGGCGAAGCAAGCAGCAACCTCTTGGCCAAAAACATGACTCGAGAAGCACACACACACACACCCACACACACACACACACACACTACTCGGACAGTTGGCATTCTGCATTTTGTGTGTCGAAGTCAACTCTGATTGAAGGATTTGTTTGAAAGCTTAGCTTGTGCTGAATACTTCCGGCGAGCAAACCGAACTTCGCTAAGTGGGGCTCGTCCATCACCCTCTTCCTATCTATTGTACTATGTTACTCTCACAGCAAAGGCCCATCGAGGAGTGTGGGCAGCCCGTTGCAAAATGGATTGGGGATTCCGACAGTAGCCTTCAATGTGCGGACATAGATGGCTGTGGCTCAAAAAACCGATACACAAAATGGAACCCTGGTAAGTGGAAACATGGACCAAAACCTGCGTAACCCCTCCTGTTTAATTTTGAGCCACACCCAGATGTTCCAGTTTTCTTGGCTTCATGTGCTTTCCTGGGTTGTTTTTTTTCTTCATAGACCTGAAAAGTGGCAGATGTTTTTTTTTTTTGTTTTTTTTGTTTTTTTTTTTTTTTTTCTGGCGCAGCTGTTGCCTCAATTTAGGCAATGCAGTGTGGCCCGGAGACCCAGAACTTTCTTGTGTCGCGTCTCAAAAACGCCGTGGGAGGCCCAACTTTCCTCGCCGCGGTTTCTTTTTTGAGGCCGATTTCTTTTGCAAAGCAGTCAACCTGTGCCTTGATCAGTGCTCGCCGGCTTGACCACTGTTGACCTTGTGCATGAGCTGGTGGCGCTTCTTTTCCACTGACTGCGTACCCTACGAGTTACTCCTGCGGATCGGTTTGATACGGATTCACAGGCCAAGCGACACATGTAGGGGCGCCCAAGGCGCCCAAGGGGGCGGAAAAGGGATCTCGCAAAAGAGATTCCTCCAAGAAATGCCGGCGTTTGTCCTTTTCCATGCTACTCTTGCTATTCCGGTGAGTAGTTGGGGGGCCACTTCCCAATATCTTGATATGTGGTTTCCCTACCCCTCGGGGCAAGGGTGTACACCCAATTTCCTTGGGGCCCTTCGTTTGCATTTCGGCCGCAAACGAAGATCATTTGTGGAGCTTTTCCCTGTGCCGGTTAGGCGTCTAGAGGAGCGCATCGCTAAGAAAACCCTTGTAACAGGTCGCCGTTGGGGGCCAGAACCAACCAAATGCCCTACCCAGTCCTCAATCTATGGGTGGAGCTTTTTCCGGGGAAAGGGAAGCCAAAAGGAAACCACCACTATTGGGGGTCCCCCTAGAAGACAAACTCATATACCCTAACGCCAAAACGGTTGGTTTCTGTTTCTGTCTTGGGTATGAAGTTGGCCGTCAGTGCAACTGCCGTTGTTTCATGCACAAACGGCACCAACATCAGTCTTCAGCAGGCTGCCATCAATTCGGCTGAATCTCGCTTGCTTCAGCTGGTTTCTCGGCAGCTTGCGCAATATTGTGCTCAGACCGATGCTCCCCATGAGTGCATCGGGGAGATCGCATTGTCTTCCAGGGGTGGGTCCCGCACTCTGCTCAGTCATGTTTATTTTTACAAAGCCAGCTGTTTTTTTCCCCCGTTTCTGTTTTGTGGTTGCTCCGGATCTGGACTGCGCCAAAAATCCCTGGGTTCAGAATGAGGGAGATTCGCTGCAAAAGTTTGCGTGGTCTCGGTCAGTGACTGTTTCACGCACGTTTCGCGCGGGCAGAATTTCGAGTTCGGCCCTGCGGAAGACAAACGAGAAGGAGGCTGTGTGGACCAGTGGCATGAGGATAAGGAAGGACACCATCCCAAAATGCCAAAATGAGGTACATAACCCTAAGGGCAATGTTTTACAGTCGTTGTATAGCTTGAATGTCCCTTGGGGGGGCAAAACCAGTTTGGTGTTTGAGCCAAATATGGGGAGGGCACGAAATGAATAGGCGCTAAAATCTCAAAAGAAGTGCAGCAAGCCCCAGATTGACAGAGTGAGCACTTGTGCATTGAAGAAGTGGCGATGCAAGAACTGCAATTCAAACCGCTGTTCATCGCATCCTGAGGCTTTTGGTGTAATTACACGCACAGGCTTGACACACGGCGTCTCGGTTTTGGGTTGGAGCAGATCTTTCTTGAGTTCCCTGCTGGAAAGTGGATCTCAACGCTCTGATCATAGTGCTCAATCGCCTTGAGACGGATCGTGAATCGCGCGCTGGAAAGCCGCTCACAGCCGATCTGACTTCGCCAGCCCATCGCTGAATTGGCACCTCGTGCAAACCCAAGGGGTCTCCTGGACCGTCTCCTGAAATGCCTCCACAGCCTCCACACTTGTCAGGGCATCAGGGTGCGCTTGTCACCCAAAGTCTCGTTGTTTGCCCCAATGGTGTGGCGTGGCCGAGTTCTGATGTAGTGGTTTGCGTATGGCCTGGCCTGTCTGCTGCTTCGTCAGTGGCGCATGCTTCTTCCGCTGATGTTGATCTGCATGCTCTGGGTGAGCGAGCAGATCGCGGGCAAAGGGCCTTGGTGAAGACTTCGCCTGCACGACCGTGAGTCTGACCAAGCCGATTTGGCTGCCCAACTGGAGTCGCTGTAGGCAGTGTCCTTGCAGAATGGCACGTCCACGGCCACGGTCCCACATCCTCCAGCAGTTTGTCGTGGCAGGCCAGACGTCGGGGAGCTGGGTCAGGTGGATCACCTCCTCAGTGTCCCAGACCTCCGATCTCAGGTCTCCAGCATCGATCGGTCCTGCTCCTGAAGGGCGTGCCACTCGTCCAGCGGGTAGTGACAAAACACCCAAACACAATTATTCTGATGAGCGTACTGGTGTGCCAAATTGCGAGAGCTTGCGGTCCCCCTTCATGGTTGTGCCGTTTTAAATTGTAGATCTCGTCGTCCTTCGCCTTGGTCATTCCCAGCTCAGTGAGAAGGGTCCTTCCGGCACGGTCCTCCTTCTTGCCGAGCTCCTTTGTGAGGGCCCGGTGGGCTTTGTCGATTTAGAACCTTCGCGTGGGGCTTGTTTGGAGCTGGGCTGCTCGTCGAGAGGTCTTTGACCTCCCGCGAACCTGCCGTGCGCTTTCGTGCCTCTGACAGAACGTGACAGAACTGGTTGTTGTGCTCCTTGCTCACCGTCCGCCAACATGCCGCCATGAGTGCGGGGTCTGGCGCACTGGC